TGTTTATTTCTGTAGAACCACACACACCACACCGAGTTATCCTGACTGTCTCTTGACGCATAAAGAATATCCGAATCATCCCGACTGTCTTTTGACCTCGGGTGCGCCTATTCAAGTGACGAAACTAGCACTGCAATGCGAAAAGCCAACAGTATTAACAGCCACCCTGATCTTATTATTTGATTAGTTGTATGTATTCCTCACGACCTTTGCGACCACGCTGTGGGGATTTTTCCAAAACATTTCTCCGAACCTTACAGTCAGTGAGCAATCTCATGAAATGTGAACTGCAATTCTGAAATGCGTTTCCCAATAAGAAGGATTACGTAAGTGAGGTTTTAATATTGATTACCATGCAGCTTAATCCCACCATATTTCCTACAAACGGGGATGCTGGTTTTTTAAGACAGTCCCTTTCAGCCTCGGCGAATAGTGTCCCCTTAAGTAGTATTTATTATTTATACTAATTTTCAATGTTCTTGTAAATGCAAATATAGTCCATGGAGAACATGGTCAAAGTATCGTCTCTTGTACCCATTCGAGAGCAACTCACATCTTCCTCGAATATTGGGTTCAAAGCAAGGATGTCTTCCGGTTTGAAAAAGGTTTTCATCTACTTACAATTTTTCAGGGTGGGCAGCATTTGCAGTTGCGTTTAGGGTTTATGATCTAGAAGCATTACATTTTCTATATAAGGAAAATCATACATTGCTCTTCGCCATTAAGAAAATACCATAGACAGTTCATACATTTTTGTAATGAAGGTGGACCACGTTGCATACTTTCTAAGCATTATTAGTTAAAGTGCAGGTAAATTCCATTTGTATGGACATAGCAAGTCTTAGAATATATCATAATTAGAAACTGCTTTACATCCAAAAATACTCTTCCTTCAAGTGTTTTGTTTGAATAAGACGTGATTTTATACAAACTAAGTATACAAAAAATATTTTTGAGTATGCTTTCCAAAGCATTTAGTCAAATTTGTAAGGACTTCAAACATCACTAGAGAAAAATCATAAAATTTAAGTAGCCATTTTTATAGATTGCAATATTTCAGACGACTAAAAAGGCATGCAATCAAAAGCCAGTATCCTACCGTGTCTGACAGTTATGTTGCAAAATAATAAGCGATACAACCCCATATAAGTAATTCTCACTAATCAAAAACGCAGTTCACTATACTGAAGCATTGTTTTCGCGGAAGAAATATGTACAAGGCGAAGATCACTAGATTAGCAGAATTCAATGGCGTCATAAATTTCGTGACCTCTCATTCAGCTGCAGACGGTCTTCGCCTATTAATAAGAGAATTAACTGTCCAATTAAGTGTCAGCCTCGAAGGCTGAAACTTGATAGGTAAAGGGAGTAGATGTGGGGGATGTGGGCGCATGGTGAGGGGTAGAGGAGGGGGGCGGAGGTAATTGTCACAGCATGACAGTTCATGTTATTGCATGTTCATGAAGGCCTGTAGGAGGTGGTTAAAAAAAAAGGGGAGGGGGGCTTGGAGAAGGGGCAAGGGATAGAGTAGTAGTCAGTCCTAAGGA